TGATGGCGAGGCGAGGAGGGTGAGGCGTTGCAGCATTGTAGAAGCGGAGTGCGGGCCTTTGCATCCACTGCGTACTGGTGGATGGGTCCGGTTCGTTTACTGAAGCCCATTCAGTTCATCCTTTGAGTAATTGCTTCAGCATGCACAGTCAGCTCGTCCCATATATAATAACCTCGGTCAACGCGTAGCCGGGTTGCATATACTGACACGTGGAGGGTCTGACATAGGCCCGTAACAGTTTCGTACATGTTTCTGAATTATGGATAGAGGGATGATAGTTTTGGAAACCAGATCATCATTCGTGAGGGTTTTTTATTTTTCGTCGGGACTGTGTACTGTAAAATCATGGAAAATGTGCAGTGCAAAGTTAAATTTAGTCTTAAGATACATATATGTTCGACACATGCAAGTGTGAAAATAAGACCCTCGTATTTAATGCATCTAGTTTAGGAGATCTATCATCATTATTTCCAGATGATTGATTACCACGTGACGAATTATTCTTGGACCTAATCTCCAAAATTATTTCGTATTTTGCTTCCGCGAGACGTTCAAGGTGAAGAATGTTATCTTTGAGATCCAATTGAAAATCTATTATCTGAACTTGTTTTCACTGAACTTCAAGCATTTAAGTCATAAGATCCTCGAGAAAGATTATGATGTGCAATTGTACAAAACATGATTGAAGATTGATATGTAAGTGTCACAGCAAAAAATTGATTTGAAAAAAATATTTTAACAATAGCAACCATATACCTCCATGTGTTTTACAATGTCGGGCTTCATATGCTTGGAGCATGGAATGAACAATGGATTTGAAGAGATCGAGTGGTAGTGATCGTTCACTTTGTGTACTGGATCGTCTATAAGATTAGCACATGTAGTTACATAAATTCTACCATGATGCGCTCCATGTCCTCTAGACCCTGATGATAATCTACCATTTTCTCCTTGTCTCTAGGTAGTAGGATTGAGATATCAACCTAAATTTGACGCAAATGTACACATGTCAACACTGGAGCAATACTGCAAAAAATATCATGCTCAAAATGATGAGTATTTACGAAAATTTCGTATCTAAAGATAATGGGCATTATATTAATTGAGCTTCATACCTCATCCAGATCGAATAATATATTTTCCAGGTATGAAGAAGATAGTCATGACCCATCGGTGCTCCAGTTGATAATGGGGGGAGCTGCGGTTGACTCTGTACATATTTTCCAGTTAATGATGAGAATGATTCATATATCCATATCTGAAAGGCAAGAGGGAAGCCATGAAGTTTGTACGACGTTATATCCTTTGCATCACCAGGGTTCAGAGAAAGCTTGGCAAGCACAAACTTCAGATGTATGTACGCATTTTGAAATAGCTCGTTCTCCCACGAGAAGCTATTCATAAAAGGGAAATCTACCAGGTGCATTGTGTCATCGGATATCACTGTGTCCTGCATACTGGTGTGCAGGAATGTGGATATCAGATAAAGAATACCCCACTTCTCGATGTTTTCATCAATAGTATTGTGTGGAAGAGAGGTAAGATCAGTTTAACGTCTTTCCTATACACTCTCTTGATGTGTCTAATTTGACATGGACCAATTTTGAACATATTGGCGTTATCATCCCCATGGCACTTCAGATCGATGACCTGGCACACTTCCTCAACTGAGAACTTTAGATGTTTTCAGGCAACTTTGAACCACATTTCATCATGGGCAGACTGTTGTACCTCCATGAGAACCATTTGATTTAATTGTAGGAAAATTGTTTCAGTATTG